GTCCAGCCTTGAAGTAACAAATGCATGGACTAGTTTCTCAGCATCACCCCTGGATAGGAGAATATTTTGCAGAATATTTCATCTGCAGAATATTTTTGCAATATTCTGCAGATGAAATAAGGAAATGATTTATTATCTGAAATCACTTTAATCCCATCCAGATGAAATGACTGACTAATCAGCTTCTTTTTCAAAGACTCTATAACTCCTGTTTTGTCTGCATTCTGTTAAGTTGCCTGGTATTGTTTCCCTGCGGCTCTCCTCGGAAATGTTATTCCACCTCAACACTTCTGTTAGGTGTAACGGCAACACAGAAGACAACTCGGCCTGACTAATACAATTCCCTTTACACACATCGATTTCCACACGTCTCTCTCTGTCTCTCCCAGTCCTGTCCCCTCGCTGCCGTTTCTTCGGCTGTCACTTCTTGTTAACACACTGAGACGACTCCGCTGCCACCGGGGGCTAGTTTTAACATTCCCGTGTCATGTATTAATAATTCCGGATGGGTTTAGCTGGGAGACTTGGGTAAAGAAATATGCCAAAAAAGAAAAAAAAACAGAAAGTAAATCTGCATGTGTGAGGGAAGGAGGGAGGGAGAGAATGAGCAAGTGGCTTGTAATACAGTCTCCCTCAGCGGGTTACTATTAAAATTCATGATTGTTTTAAATATATGTAGACCCCTGCAGCACAGCCATGGGTTTCCTTCTCTCCTCCTTCCTGTCAGGTGCTCTGCATGAACATGTGGAGAACGTCGGCTAGCGCGTGTGTGTGCTGCACAGGCGGCCGGCCATAAACCCATTGAAGCTGAGGGCATAGAAATTGTCAAGGGAAACATTTTGCAAATGTAAATAAGCTTGCATCATTGCTAAATTTTCTTCAAATGGATTTTTTTTTTTTTTTTTGCAGCTTCTTGACAGAGTTGCAATGGCTCTTCACGCGTGTAAACAAATAAGAAATTTGAAAATTGGCTTCACGCCACAAGATTTTTAGCACCTCCAGTAAAAGCCTTTCTGGTGAGAATTGTTGTTTTTTTTCGTTTAGAAGTAAACAGAGATGCTAAATATTT